GCAAGCCTGACCCGTTTATAGGACGGACAATGGCAAGTTGTCAAGCCCGAAAAAAGGGTCTGGGTTTACAATATTAGACATGTTAGACAAAAAAAAACAAGTTAGGCTCAGCACGGTCCCGCAAATGATCACCTCTAGTCAGTTCATTGTCTATCATATGTGAGATTTTGTGTTCAAAACTTTTACTGCAAAAAAAGTTTCGCAACATAATAGATCTGAAACTAAAAGTTAAAAAAACTAAGAAAATGACACTAACAAGATTCGAACTCGGATTTGTAGTGGAAAAAAAGTCATGCAAATTAGCTATACCAAGGGAACTTGTGTTCCCGTTGTAGTTTCAAAAATATACGATAACACAGCAAATTAATACGGTGACACTTTTTACGACGCTAGAACTTTTACACTACGATGGATGAACAATACAGTTCTACAAGCCACCGTATGCTCTAGATTAGATCCGTCAGTGCCGATCATCACAATATATAATTCGCTTACAAGCTGCACATGTGTAATAACGATATAAATACAAAACAAAACACAAATCCCTGGATGAATGTTTAAAAATCCGATCCCATGTGCCACTTATATGATCAGAACTGGTGTTTGTAGGAAACCTATTTGATGTCATCACTATGGTATAAGAAGGTGGAATATCTCATATGTAATGGGTTCGATTCTAGTTGTACACAACGTTTATGGCCATTGAGTTTATTAGGATTAATGTTTTACGGTCGTAAATTATCAGGGTTAGTTTGTACATAGCATGGACACCCTTAAAAGATATCCATGGTTAATTCTTTAGTCACTTTTGTCTTATAATTAGGCTTGTCAACCCTTTCGATCGTGGTATCGTTGTTTTGGTGGCTAAAAATGGAGATGTGGACGATGACCATACACTCAAGAGTAGGGCTGTAAACGAACTGAATGTTCAACGTGAACCGTTCGGTGGAAAGTTCGTTTATGTTCGTTTTTTTAATAAATGAACGAATATGAACAAATTTTATTATTCATTTGGTTAAACGAACGAACATAAACCGTTCATTTATGTTCGTGAACGTTCGTTTGTTTACCTTCGTTTATATTCGTTCGTTTATGTTCGTTTATATATTAAATCTAATATATAATCATTTTTTTATTTAGTTTGAATTCAAATAATATTATTTAGGTTTTAACTTTTTTGAATTTATTTAGATTTTAAATTTTAGCATCATTTAATTTGTCTTATTTGAAATTTTTACCTTTTCACTCTCAAAACCCTAGCCTCCATAATTTATGAGCAATAATTGATTGAATGACAAGTAGTGGTGTTATTTCGTTTATGTTCATTTAGTCCGTTCGTTTATGTTCATTTGTTTACGTTCGTTTAGCATGTTAACGAACACGAACACACCTGATTTCTAAACGAACGAACACGAACACAAAGATTTTCGTTCGTTTACTATTTGTGTTCGTTCGTTTGTTCGGTTAAGTTAAACGAACGAATATAAACAAGCATTTGTTCATGTTCGTTCAGCTTATTTACAAATTGACACCATGTGAAAACCCACTAGCTTCCTTATTCATCTTTTTGATATTCATGTTCTTTTTGGTAAATCATGTAACTTTGAAAGTATTTCACAAAATTACAAAAAGGATTTGTTACATCAACAATATAGATAATAATTAAATGAAATGAAATTGAAACCTCTTAACCTATGCCATGTGTATTAAAATCCAAGTCAATTGAGTTACCCATTCTATAATGAGTAAATCTTTAAATACATAATGTTTTAATAAGAAATATTTTAAAAGTACAGCCTTTTAATAAAAGAAAAACTGAAAGTAGAATGCTATAATAAGAAGAAAAAAAATGGAAAGTGTGTTTCTTGCATTTTCCTTGATCTCATAAAATTTTCAATTGTTTCATGATCTAAAACATTTATCATAATAAATGAACTCTATTATATTTCATAATTACCTCAACTGTTTCATAAGTGTTCGATCATGAGTTGTATTCCTTGTAAAAATTTAATGATTTGTATTTTAAATCTCCTATATATAGAGACGACTTCTTTTGTTAACCCCGTAATCAGTATTAACTTTACAAACCGAGGTATTTTTCGGCTTTTTTATATACTGATACTACATTCCTTAATTATCTCATTCCATAATTTATCTCATGCACTAACCATAACTTATCTCATCTAATTACACCGTCATTTTTCTTATTCACTTAACTATCACATTCCATAATTTATTTCATTACTTCTAAAATTCGAAATTTTCAACTTTTAATCTCTTTTTTCCAGCATAATTCGTACTTAGATCGTTCATAAACTGAATCTTGCAAAGACATATATGAACTTTAAACAAAAATCATTGGTTCACCTATAAATATGATACTGTACTTAATTTCCCATAATCATATTTAGGTAGAACTTTTGATTTCGTCTATGAACTTTGTTTAAAAAAATCTAATTATCTTACTGATTTTCTAGTTTCACCCGTAAATTTTGTTAAAAGATTTGAAACAATCAAAGTTCATACATGAAACAACGTTAATTTATGTCAGATCACAGATAAAACAACATAGTTAGCATAAACCTAAAAATATGCAGTATGTTATCTCATGGAGAAAATAACATAACCTTTAAAAGCTGATACGACGTAATGATAAACGTATGTAATGTGTTATTTCACGGCCGAATCAACATTTAAGAAACCGAAAGATAGTATGATGGTGATAAATTTCTCAAACCAGGCCCGAGGAGCTTGTTTGAGTCCATATAAAGCTTTTTTCTAACTTGCATACTAAGCTTGCATGATGCATGACACCAGGAGGAGTATTCATGTACACCTATTAAGATAATTCACCATTGAGACACTACAACAAAATTGGGTTTATATGACGCTCCCAATCTCTAAGTGTCCTAATAGACCATTTTATAGGACTTAATTTATAGGACTAAAATATAAAGCGTCATATCTAAAGGTGTTGTAATAAGTTTATACGACGTTTTTGGGCATCTTAACAAGGTTTTTAGGACATTTTTAATACAAAGTGTCGTATTAGCAACTTTATAGGATACTTTTGAGAAAGTGTCATATAGACTCTATTTTTTATATGACACTTGTTTTTATAGGACAGTTTTTCAAATAATGTCCTATAAAGTTACTAATGGAATGCTTTATATTAAAAGTGTCCTAAAAAACTTATTACGACGTCAAAAAACGTCTTTAAATATGACACTTTATTTTTTTTGGTCCTATAAACTAAGTCGTATAAAGAGATCTATTAGGACGCTTAGAAATTAGGAGTGTCCTTTAAACCCGATTTTGTTATAGTGAGAAACGCATTTCTTACATCCATATGATGAAGTTGCCATTTACTTATAGTTGCAATGTCAAGGAGGGTAAGAATAGAGGTCACTCCAGAAACTGGAGCAAATGTATCCTCATAATGAATGTCATTCTTCTTATAAAAACCCTTGGTTCCTAACTGGGATTTATATCGATCAACCGAACCATCTGACTTGGTTTTGATTTTATAAACCCATTCGCAACCTGTGACGGATTTACCTTCACGAAGGGGAAAAACTCCCAAGTTTGTGCTTGATCTAAGGTCTGAGCTCCTCAAACATTGCATTCTGCCAAAGAGGGTACAAGAAGCTTCTTTATAGGAAGAAGGCTCATGATGTGACAATAAAGTGGCATAGCAATGATAATCACGAAGATAAGAAGGAAGGTTTCTTACCCGATCTGACCCGCGTTGTTCAAATGGTTGAGAAGTGCTAGGAACCTTAAACTCAACAAAGAAACAACGAAGGATAGAACGAGGATTAGGTTTAGAGCGTTCGTGTGGTTGTAACATGACAAAACATCCACAACCCCATACTTTGAGTAACTCATACGCCGGTGAGACGCCATAAAGAGACTCATATGGAGAGATGTTGTCAGAGATTTGGTATGGGATGAAGACTAATGGTGTAAACAGCTGAGAGGGGTGCCTCATCCCAAACATGTTTGGGACATTGAGCTTAGATTAGTAAAGTCCGAATGGTGTCTAAGATGTGTCTGTGTTTACGTTCTGCACGACCATTTTGTTGAGAGGTGCCCAGGAGTATCGAGAGACAATGTCATGTATCATTAGAAGAAATATGACTCGATCGAGAATATCTTGTATCATTAGAAGAAACACCAGATATGATGCAGATATTGGAAAGAAGAGAACAACAACCACCAATGATTTGATTTACCCCTATGAATTTGTGCTCAATTTCTGGTTTGTTTGTTTGTTAGTGGTTCTTTAGTTGAATTACTAGCTGCAAAGGCCAACATCAATCTCTTTTTGGTGAAAGATATGATGGATTTTGGTGAAATATCGCTGTCAACAACGAGAGATCTCGAAAGAGAGTAGGATTTCCAAAAGTTATGGCTTTTTTAGAAAAATTAGAGGACAATAAGAGACTTATAAGACATTGATTTACAAGTTCTACAATAAAAAGACAGTAAGTGGTTTTAAGTCTTTATCACAAGAAAACAACAAATATAGAAAAACAAACAGCAACTAGACAATGAGAAAATGGCTGAATGTGACTGGCTAAGAACTCATTTATGAGCCATTTTGTGTTAATGGAGATGGTGATACAATTGTGCAATGTTTGAAATAAGTGTTTTTCAACTCATATTACCTTACCGGATGAATATGATAAAAATCAATAATCTTACCGGGTAACTAAGAGCGAAACAAGGACAAAAGTCTTACCCGGTAAGTGAGGACGTCGACTCCTACCACGGTAAGCGCTTATATACCGGGTAAATTGTTGCATACAACGTTGTTTTCGTGGACTAAGATCTTATCCGGTAAGTAAATGATAATGTTAAGTTTTATCGATAAACATTTTTCAGGTAAGTTTGTAAACCCCATTAATTATTATCATCTGAAATAGACAATTATTGAGTACAAGTAGATATTTGGGATCTTTAGAGGCACAATTTGTGAATTGTGATTGCTAATGATTTCATGCTTTGGCCTTCTTCAGTTTTGGAATCACTTCAGTTGTTTCTTCTGCTCGTGCTCCAAACACGATATCAGTGTCTTCTTCGTCACCATCCATTATGGTTCTTTTCAGTGACCCCCTTTTCTTCTCAGAAAGAAATATCTTGAACCAAAGTGCAGAATTCTTTGGATACCTTTGAAGATCGTTGACATAATCAACATAGATCATACCGAACCGTTCATCATAACCAGAAGACCATTCAAAGCTATCCATGAATGACCAAACGAAGTAGCCTACAACGTTTACTTTGTTACTGTAACATTATGCACCAAGACTGTGTCATGATCTTGTAATTCAACATTAGTTTCATTTTGCATTTCAATCCTATCAAGTGACATACCGCATAGCCGTTCGGATGGCTATAAGATGCTTCTTTATGTATTCCATTCGGTATGTATCATCCCGGACTTCTTCATAAGTTTTTCCACGTTCGTTCATATCCGGAGATCCTATCACAAGGTATCAAAATACCATCAAAAAATTTCGAACATGTGACGATTCAAAAGGAAACAAACAAAATGGTTTCTTTTTACGTACCATTCTCGGTGATTATAATAGGCTTAGATAGATTGTATGTACTCTTAACACGATACAAGAGTTCGGTAAGCTCATTAGGACACAGATAAACCCATGAATCTGGATAGGCCTGCAAAGTTGTGTTAGACTTGTTTAAGTATATTAGCTACGACATAATCGAAATTAAAGTTTGAATCTTTCGTTTTCTTAAGTAAAGTTGGTTTAATTACCGGCTTTCCGATAGGAATGTCGTTGGGATCTCTTCCTGAAACATGATGGAAACATTGACATATATTTTGAGAAACCTAATCAATATCGACAAAGATCGATAACTACCATTACCTAATTCTTTGTAGTGACAATCGGTGGCATACCCAAGAGGGATATTAGAAGACGGAGCTTGATATTGGGCATAATGTGCGGTGTAGTAGTTTATTCCAAGAAAATCGTATGAATCTATCAACTTGGTGCGTTGATCCTCGGAGAATTTAGGTAGAGGACGACCATTCGGGTAATTAGTTGTCGGAGTAGTGGCAAACTTTTGCATATTTTCCGGCCATGTTCCTTTTGTTAATGGCTCGAGAAACCTGTAATATGAGTTATCATATAACACAGATTTAAAACGTTATTTTGTAGAAAATGAACTAATAAGTTATGGGTTCATCGCTCTATAACTTATGTATGCTTACCACCCATTCACAAAATCAAACGCGTATTCGACAGCTTTGACATCTTGTTGATTACTCGGACCACGATAAGGTTTCCAAAAGCTAAGGTCAAGCGTAATTCCCACTTTACCCTTTTGAAAACCCTAAAATAGAACATGATGATAAATTCATTGATTATATGCATTCTAAAAACGTACATATAATGTTTTATTTAAAAGGAAAACTTTAAAAAAACCCAACGAACTATCTCATTATGAATGATTAAGTTCATCAGTTATTTTCTAGAATAAACAAACCATTAAACTTTCTTATTTTGAATGATAAATCCCTGAACTATTTTTTGGATTAAAAAAACCATAAAATTTTCTCATTTTGAATGATTAAGTTTCAAAAAGAAAATCAATAAAATAAACCATCGAACTTTAAAATTTGGTTACTTACATCATTTTATCCCTAAAAAAATTACTTGTAACCAACTAGAAATGTCTTAAAGTAAGACACTACTTGTAAGCCCCTAAAAATAGATCAACAGAGGGAGATAGATGGCAAGACTAACAGTATGATAGCCAATACGATCATATGAAGAATGGACAACGATAGACAACAGGGAGTGGTAAGAGGGAATGATACTGTCACGTGTAAAAGGTTTGAAATGCATACATTTTGGAATTGATGAAACTGATTTAGGGTTTTTTTTTACTTTAAGACCTTGTTAGTCGAATACAAGTAGTTTTTGTAAAAAGGATGTAGGTAACCTATTTTTAAAAGTTCGGTGGTTTATTTATTACAAAGAAAATGTTCCAAGGACTTGATAATTCAAAATGAGAAAGTTTAATGGCTTTTTAATGCAAAAAATAGTTCAAGGGCTTAATCACTCAAAAAGAGAAAGTTTAATGGTTTTTTCATTCAAAAAAATAGTTCAGGGACTTAATCATTCAAAACGGGATAGTTCGTTGGGGTTTTATGAACTTTTCTTATCTTTAAAGTAATACCTTATAATCCTTCTCATACTTTCTATAAGCAGCTGCATGAGAGTTGAGTAAATTGTATGCTACTATATATGGCTCTGTTTCAAGGTCACTATCTTTACTGTTTTCACCCCGACCCGGTGCATAAACACCTGTTATGTACCCGCCATATGTGAATCTGTATGGCTCATTCACAGTCACCCAATTCTTTACTCGATCTCCGAACTCCCAGAAACAAATATCAACATAATCGACGAAATCAGCCCTGAGATTTAGAACAAATAATAACTAAAGAGATACATGCACAAAGTAACCAAATAAATGACAAACACTTACACGATTTTTGAACTTAAGAAGCCCATGTATTCTTCTTCTAAAGCATTTGGAAGATCCCAATGGAAAAGAGTAACAAATGGCTCAATACCATTGGCTAATAACTCATCTATTAGTTTGTTGTAGTAGTCGATGCCTTTCTGGTTTTTACCTATGCTTACTTTCCCACCTATTTAAATTTACAAACAAAGGGGTATAGGATTGAAGGATTTTGCTTACTCATAAGTTTTACCGACAATAACTTAACTGTTTTGTAATAAATGATTAGTTGTTTTTTTATTTCTTATACTGAGAATAATGAACATAGTGTTATTTTCACCTGGCAGTATTCTCGACCATGAAATAGAGAATCTGTAAGAGTTGACACCCATTTTCTTCAACAATTGAACATCTGCCTAATGGTTTACAAAAGGGATGACATCTAAGAATCGATCATAGATTTTATTTCTTATAAACGACAACGTGTATTTAAATACCTTCATTCTTGAGTAGCTGTCAACTGTGACACATGCATTTACACCTCCAGCAATTTTGTCTGTAATCACCGTCAACGGTTGTCATCCATTTAATTAACATTGAGGCAATCAAAACTAGAAGAGATCTAGAGAGACATACTAGGGTTTCTTAGGGAAAAACAGTCCCAGATACTCAAGCCTTTACCATCTGTATTCCAAGCACCTTCCACCTACAACTCGAAAACATACATCTGTATAATAAAGAAGAAAATATATAACAATTGAGCCGTGTCTAAATGATGTGAGCTTAAGGCCTACAAAAGACCAACAAAAAATATTCTAAAGATGACTGAATTAAATCAGACATTCTTATGATGCATAAACCAAATACCTGGTAAGCAGATGTTCCTACTCCAAACAAGAAATCATCTGGAAAATTTTGACGTTTGACATCATCATCCAAGAGGTGACCTTGGTCGAACTCAAGCATTGTTGCTTCAGCCATTTCAAATGGTTAATCGTGTAAACTAGGTTGAGAGAAAATCTTTACGACTTTAATTCAATCGTAATAGTGAAGAGTGGTGAGAACTTGAGCCCATGTGGTCCGACATTTATAGCCACCAATCTAAGTTTAAAGTTTGCAAGAATTGAAAATGAAATAAATCAATCAATATCATGTGAAATAGATAGTTATGGAACAAACATTAATTGAACACATAGATTACTAAAAGACAAAAGGTGACCATTTTGATAAAGAGATTTCGCACTTGAGAGTGAGTTACACGATTTAGTCGATCTCGTTGATGATTGTTTTTTATCTAAGGGTTTAAAACCGCAAGGAATTATGTCTGTTCGACATATTAAAACAGCTTAATAGTTTCTTATTTATATGCATCGCTATGTTTATGCAAACAAATCATAAATATGTAATATGTATGTAATTTGCTTTTAGAAAGCTATATGTAATATTTTTTTTGAAGTATATATTATTTATATACGGCAAATGCAACAAATAAACTCGCACACCTTGTCACATTTGGTGAGGTTTGAACCTCTGACCTCCTAGGAGGCTAAAGACTATGATTCCGCTAGGCCAAAAATCCTTTGGTAATAATATTTTTTTTAAATCATGTAATCATGTTAAAGCTTTGGCCACTTGAACCAACATTTTTACACCATTCTTATTGTAATCATCTAAAAGGTTTTTAGAACTAGATAGTTATGCCTAAGCGTAGCGTTGGTTTTAGAAATTAATACGTGACGGCCTTTTGTAGGCCTTATATCTATTTTGAGGCGTTTAATGCTAAAACACAACCCACTCTAAGGCACACTATAGCAACATGGACCACGGTCCATTTCACTTTGAAACATGTGGAGTATTGAATGTATGTCACGTCGATTAAAAAGTCGTAATATAGTACTAGCATATTAAATGTGTGTTACAGGGGACCATCTGTTGAAAAATTTGTAAATTGTGAGATCTCTAAGTGGAATATTATATGCATCATTTGTTATTTCAAATTATTCTTTTTTCATCTATGACTAGAATTTAATGTAGTGATTAACATATATTTGTTTCGCTATGTGCTTGTTTCACATGTACTTAGCTCACAATGTGAACTTTTTTGGCATGAATATGAAACAAAAAGTACATGTAAAAGATTTTCCTATTACGAACCAAATATATATGAAACAAACACATTGTGAAACAAGTGCATGTTAATCAATACGATAAATAGTATACTTAAACGGAAAAAAATCATGTGAAACAAAACCTTAAGATAAAATTCATGTGAAACAAAACCTTAAGATAAATAGTATACTTAATCCTGATCCTCGTCTCTAGTCAAAACCTAATTTTAGAAAATAAATAATATATATATATATAATAACATATATTATATAAAAATATATTTAATAAAATTATATACCGGATACGGGGCAGGTCGACCCGGCCCCAACCCGGTTTGAGTCTACCGGGGATCCCCCGACCCCAATCTGGGAACCCGTTTTAGCAAGGAATCTCCGTTCAGATCGGGTGAGCCGGGTTCCCACCGGGTCGACACAAATCACCATGCATCCCTACCTCTTTTTATCTTCTTATCGGAGACAGAGGTAGTTGAATCTCATTTGTTGTGTGTATATTTCTAGAAATTTAAATATTGTATTTGTTGGAAAAATTAAAATTGTTATATAACTTCATAGTTTTCTTCGATTACTATATTTACGAATAAAATTAAATATACGTGTCATCAATCAAACTTCTTAAAATGATGATTAAGCCACAAACAAACACTCTGTTATACCTGAACGAATAAGTCATCCATATTATTAAACCGATTAAGTCATAAAAAGACATGCCCTACATCTATTATTTTCACTTGATAAAAAGTATCGAAAATGTTCGCGAATGGTGCCCCCGTAGTGCGGAGTACATGTTTCGCGTTACTTTTGGATTATTTCTTAGTGAAATATAAAACAAAGTGATCGTCGAACATTAACTATCTTTGTGCTTGCAAACTTGATTAAGCCCTACAAAGATATCGATTAAACTAAAGTGATTGTTGAACATTCGCTTTCTCTTCGCTTGCACACCCAAATGATTGTTGAACATTGTATATCAAAATAACAGTCGGATGTTAAATTGATTGAGCTCGATTTTTCAATAACTTATACTCACGTATTTACTTATAAATCAACATTTAAGAGTTGCCGGTAGATGTTGAATACATAATAATTAAATAGTCGGAATGACTTGGCAGTTGTTGAATGGTTTGAAGCAAAATGATTAAGTGGTCAGAATGATTAAGAGACTCTCATGATATAGTGCAAAATGAAATATAGTTGTTTGATAATTATTTACAATGAAATTAGGGTGTTGAATGGTTAAGGGAGATCTAGGATACAAAATCATTCAGTGGATTTTAGAACCATTAAGAGACAGATTTTTTTTGTCAAACAAGATTCACCTCTTAACAATCTAGATGTTGCTTCTTAATGAAACTAATAAGAGGTTAACCCTTAGTTAGTATTATTGAGTAGAAGATGAAAAATGGCTTTGCAAATATAATGGGTAGTGCTTCATAGATGGATGATTGTGCTTAACTTTTTATTTTATTTTAAATATAAATACAAAATTAAAATATATATTCTGTGTAAAATATATTTTGTGTTATTTTCTAATATATATATATATATATATATATATATATATATAGGAGAGGGGTTGTTGAAATAACTCTCTAACGGCAGATCCAGAAAATTAGGTGATTAGGGTACACCTAACGGTGTAAAAAAATCCACTAAAGCGGCGAAAAACAAATAGAATTTACGATTTCTACTTTTTTTCGAAAATTATTTGTGTGCAACATAATTAAAGATGATTATAAACAAACCAAATCCTATTTATTAAAGTCGAATAATAAATCCCAGCTGAATGAGGTTCGGGTCAAATCGTATCAAGTCATTCAAAAATATAATTTGATAAACAAGCATTCCAAAATAAATATTGAAATGATCCAAAGACACTAAATTTGTTGAGAATCATGAGGGTTGTCGGAAAAAAGTTAGGGATATCAACGAGTTTTCAGGTCTCATAAAATACAGACAGGGGCGGATGACCATAAGGGCCTTTAGGGACTTTGGCTCCTAGGTTTTTTTTAGATAGAGTGAAGCATCTTCAGTCCATTAAGGTTTTAAGTGTAAAATTCTTTTTGGTCCCTCCACTATTGCTGATCCAGTCAATTTGTGTTCCGCCTCTGATATACAGAAGTAAAAGGAAAATACTTCAAACAATTATGTCGATTAATGAATAAATAACATAAAGTTTATATTCAATTAGATGTTTTTAAGGGAAAAAATCAGATTTTTGTATTTGTAACTAAAATAAAAGTTATGAAGAATATTAGCTACTTGAACCCTTCTACTAGTCTCAATAGTTGATTCAACTTTAACATAATGCTTACGAATTGCCACATCATGCTCGTTGGTTTTTCATACGTTGGTGGATCCATGATTTTTTCTAGTGGGGGCACCTTTAAGGTAGATTAAAGGTATGTGAAATCATCCTATACGTTTTTAGCCTACTTCCACCATTCCGAGAGATTCGTAAAACTTTTTTTTGTTGATTTTGAGGGATTTTGAAGTCTTTTTGTTGATTTCCGGGGGATTTTTAAGGGTTTTTTGGTTAATTTCGACGTACTTTTTTTGGTTGATAAGGGCACAAACAGAAAATTATGGGGGAACTATGATAGAAAGTTAAAAAAAATGTTTTTAACTTACGAAAAAAGATAATTTTTTTAGGGAAAATCACCAAAATGACCAAAATATGTCCGATATATTAACGAAATAACCAGTTTTCACCAAAATTGAGAAAATGTCCACACGGATCGCCCCCGGGGTGCGATCATTGACCATGGGGGCATCCCCCTTGTTTGACCGAAAAAGTACAAAAAATATAATAAAAATCATTTTGGTGGGTCCCACATGCATCACTTTAGGGTACAAGCCTCGATTTGCGTGGATCTACCCCCGGAGGCGACCCACGTCACCCAATCGCCCCTCGGGGGCAATCTAATTTTTTTTCATTTTTTTAATATCGATTAAGGAGTGTTTTTAATAAATATGAGACGATATTTAAACTGTTCTTTTTACCCTTTTAGGTCCAAATGTCAAGGTTTTAGTATATAAAGTAAAACACTTCTACTCTCACAACCTGTAAACATAATCTACCGTAATAAACCTTATAAAAATATGATTGTATGCAAAGATTTCTAATTTTTACCAATTTTTTTAAATGCATAAACTAAGCAACAAATGTTGTTATACTTTTTTTTTATAAGAAATGTTGATATTCTATAATAATCGTGGAGACGAAAAAAATTATTTGTATCTGATTTAGTAGACAAAAATCAGATATTTTATGTTGAATCTTATTCCGTCTTTTAGTGCAACAAATTTCATTATAAATACCAACTTCCTATTTCATTATTTTTCACATCTACTCTTTCATTTATATTCTCCTATATTCTACTCTCACAACCCTTAACCCTTTAACACAATAAACCATCACAATCCTCAACCCTTAACCCATTAAATACAAATCTACCATCACAGCCCATCACCCTTAAACAAAAATATGAAATCATATCAAAGTGATGATGTTTTAGTGTCTAAATGACGAAATAGCGGTCAAACTACTTAAATGTAATGCCCCAAAACACACATTGCATGTAACACATATTTCATACAAAAGAAATACATGATATTATCCCATTAAGGTCTTTAGTACAAGAATCTATTATAACCAAATACAAGGTCCAAAAATTCAAATACATTTCTTGTACTAATCAATCAAAACTGTACATCAAGACAGATCTTCAAGCAGAAATGCATAGGAAAATATTACATTTTTCATTTTCCCTTACCGTCCGTACCTCCTGCAACACATAGTTAAAATCACAAAACGAGGGTTAGACCGAAAGGTCTAGTGAGATACCATATTTA